TGTAGCCGTATATTGAGCTGTTCCTGCTGCCAGATTCTTAGGGACCACCACAAGAAGAGGGAGGGAAGGGTTTCAAGAACCACCCACAGTGTCTATATGCCTTTGCTTTAGGAAGCATGGATATAATTAAGTCTTCCTTTTAACTGTGCTGAGAAAAATGTTTCAATTAAAAAAAAAATTATATATATATATATATATCTATGTGGATTGAATATATGAATTGATTACCAGCTGTTGCAAACACGGTGTAAAGAGCACCATCAAAAGAACAGGTTGAATAAAGACATTAAAATATTGATAGTGAAAATGGTCTTTGTAAAATTCTGTGTCAATATTATTTTGGACTGTTATAGACTGCGGGTAACTGTTTAGAATACTGTATTTTATTTAAATTAGCTTATGAAATTATTTATTCAAGGCTTTTATTGTTCATTGAAGTACTGTAAAAAATGAAAACTTTGAACTGTTATTATCCCAACCCATGCTTTACTGTCTCTCCTCAAACTTGTCCTTTATTCAATTATATATATATATAATAATATATTTTTACATATATATATATATATATATATATATATATATGTCTGTAATTTTTTTTTCTACTTAATGAGTTCTGTACAGTGCTCACCTTTCTGGATTGCTAAATAGTTTCATCTGCTTCAGCTGTTAATCAGAGAAAAACTGGTTGACAAAAGACTTAGTTATGGGTGTTCCTATACCAAAAGCAAAGAGTGGTTTCTGTTTAGAGTCCATCCTCTAACTCTTCAGATTGCAAAGAGTGTTGGCTTTATCTTCTCTTGTCCTCAATCACTGCAGTGGAGTTGGAGCAGTGTGCACGGTAGTTGGGAACCCGTTTGTCAAAATATGTATCAAGCATTTCAAACATTAGTAGTAATGGTCAGAAAGTGTAAAGAAAAGCAATGGAAGAAGCACTATGAAGCCAGTGTAGTTCTTAAAACTATTGTAGTTACATTAATTATCTTGACTATAAAGGATAGTCTGTTTTTCTAAAGCAACAATGAGAATGCCTGTCTTTGTTAGTAGCAAACACAGAGTCATAGAATGATTTGGGTTGGAAGGGATCTTAAAGCTCATCTAGTTCCAACCCCACTGCCATGGGCAGGGGCACCTTCCACTATCCCTGGCTGCTCAAGGCCCCATCCAGCTTGGCTTTGAACGCTTCCAGGGATGGGGCATCCACAGCTTCTCTGCACATCCTGTGCCACTGTCTCGCCACCTGCTGAGTGAGGAATTTATTCCTAGTATCAAATTTAAACCTGCCCTCTTTCAGTTTAAAGCCATTTCCCTTTTTCCTATCACTTTCATGCCTTGTAAAAGATCCCTCTCCAGCTCTCTTGTAGGCCTCCTTGAGGTACTGGAAACATATAAGAATTCTAAGAATAATGAAATGTTCAGAGAAGCTTCAAGGAGGTTGCACTTATTTTCACTTCATATTACTCCTCCTGCAGTACTGTGCAGCACTTTCTTCCAGAAGGCTAGATTAGAACTGATCTAATATAACCCTCTCTAATTTGTGTCAGAGTAAGTATTTAGACAGCAAGTGTGTTAAATCATCTGTTTTCTCATCAGCTGAATATTTTCTCTTTTCACATGGTCTTTATTTAGCTGCTTCATAGGCAGTGGTTGTGGTTTTGTGGCAACAGGAACAGTAAGACCAGGTCACCACCTTCCACTGAACGCTGATACATTTAATTTGTGTCAGTTTTTTTCTTTGTTCTGGTCTTCCTGTGTTGGCATAAAGTTTGAGAAGCAATGACGTCCTTCTTGTCATGTTTAATAAATATTAAAATCACTATTTTCAAACTAATCCAATAATCACTTCTCCTGTATTGTAGCCTGCTGTAGTCTTTCTTTAAGGCATGTTATATGTTTATGTTTAGTTACTGAACTGTATTTTATCAGTTACACGGCAGTTCATGAATTAAAGTCACCTCAGTCTGAAATTTTACTATGGATAAACCTAAATTGTGCATTAGTATATTTTTACTTACTGTATTTCCATAATTATTGTTTAATTCAGTTTGTCTAAAGGCTGCAGACCTTAGCTGATTTCCTAACAGGAATAGATCTAGTTGTCTGGGGTAGTCAACAGTCACTTCTGCTCTGTTAGTTTTTTCTTTTTGCTTTCTTCTTGTCCTGTGCTGTTCTGTTATCTAGACTTCAGTTTTCTATAGTTTACCAGCAAATTTCTGTATCACTGGATACAAAAATCTAAAATATTTTGACACCTAGGGACTGTGCCTCTCTGTCAGCACTCTTCCATTTCCCAGTTTCTCTTGCTTTTCATTTGTTCTCCAAGATGACCAGTGTCCTGAATAGTTACTCAGGGAAGTCAGAATAAAGTTGTCCAGTGTCACCCTTCTCATTCGCCTTTTTACACTCTTGAAATTTTACATTTATCCTTTCTAGCCAACAATCCAAAATCCTTCAGCTTTGCTTCTCGTAAACTGTGCATCATGTAGTTTTGAATCTAAGCTCATGACAGATGGCTTTTTTATTTTAATATGAAATACCCATTCATGAGTGTTTAGAATCAGGGTTAGGATCAAATTATTCTGATTATTCATTTTGCTGTCTGTAAACTCATTGTCTGATCTTTTTTCCTATGCTTGTGGATGCCACTTGCACAGACAAGAGTTGGTTCTTTAACTGGACGGTTTTTGTGTGGTGAAGTACAATTGTCTGTAGTAATTCCAGTTCCAGAAAATTAAGCAGTCATTTAAATGAATTCAGAGTTATTGCTATTGGTGGGAAGATTTAGTGGATTATGCAGGAACAGGCTGAGATTAAGCTTGATATTGCTTGTGGTCTCTTACACTGTGTGGTTGAAGTTTCTATGCAGGCAAGGGAGAGCAGATGTTTAAGACCAAGTTGTTGCCTGCAACTATAGCGTAAGGAAACATACCTGATATGATAGAACATGTTACTTAGGAGTATTCTTCCTCAAACTGATGAATAACAAAATTATCCATTCCTGAAAGAGATAATGCCATGGCTAGTCTCTCCTACTGTCCAAAATTCTCAGTTTTACTCAGATTAGGTGGATTAGGCACTTGCTTACAGCAACACTGTTGTTTACGGCAGATAATAAAATTAAGTGTTATCTATCTATTGCTTCAAGGAAGCCATGCTGTGTTTCCCCATGATTTTCTGTATCTGGTGATAGAATTCCTGTTGCCAATTAAGGGGCCTTTGTTTCCAGAAGTAATATCAGTTCTGAATGTCAGCATTTATCAAATTGGGAAAAAAAAGTTAATAACTCGGAACTGTTGAAAAAAAAAATTTGTTAGTGCACATTTATGAAGTTCCTGTAAATGAACATCCCAATACTGTAAACAGTTTATTTAGAAATAGTGACTCATCTTATTAGGAGAAAGGGAGGAACACAGTGTGTTCTTACATAACTACAAAGCACTAACTGCAAGGGGAAACAGTGTTGAGTTCAACAGAATGATTTGAAGAGGCAAAGGGTTAAAATGATAGAAAACAGACTTCTGGGGAGGGAAAGACTTTTCCTCTTCCCCACCAGAAATTTAAGACATTGGGCATAATGCAAAGATAAAAACTGCGTAATGCAAAAGAAAGCCGTTTTCTTGCACTGCTATCATGTCTAAGCAATTCTGGATACAATTTTAATTTGCTAGTGTTGTTGAAGTCTTCATAAAACTTGTTTTGATTTTTGTCTCATGCTTTCTTGAAGGCTCAAATGGTAAACATTTGGACATAATGACGCAAACAGTAGGCTATCAATCATTCCCAGTTTTCACAGCATTGTTGCTCATTCAGAAAAGCTGCGTGAACTGACCTCTTTCTAAAGCAGTGTCATTAGTTCTTTCAGAAATAAAACAAGGATCAAAAAGACTTTCAGGATTTTTCTCTTAAGACTTGCTGTACTGAATGATTTTGTAAAATTAGGGATCAACTGTTTTCAATTAACTCTCAGCTTTTTTTAATGTATAATGTATGAGAGACTACATATTAATTGTTTTTGTTCCCCCTCAGTTTTTTAAGCATTGACTTCCAGTAAATTAGTTAAACAGAAAATTGAATTTAGATTAGATTTGCCATGTAGACTCCTAATTTTGATACAAATGAGAAATTGTGCAACAGAAGGAGGTAAATTTATGCAGTGTGAATGTCTTTGGATAGACATTAAATATGACTGGGCTTGCTTCGCCTGAGGTCAGAATTAGCTTGACATGGGGCTTACTGTGGGAATTGGAGCAGCACAGCACTATCCCATTCCTTACTGCTTCTATGGTGAGCAAACTGAGGAAGTCTTTGCTCCCCATGTCCAGCTAGTAAGTCTGATTGCATGTGCTCTCTGCAGACTGGTCTGCTATTCTGTGTTGTGGAGGTACAGTGTTGAAATATTTTCCCAGGTCAACTGAATTAAAAAATATAACAAGCCCTGGGCAGTTTTAGACACTTTATTAGCCACACTTTCATCCCACGTGTCTGTGAGAGTATTGTGAAGGGTTAGAGGTCTTGTAGAGTGTGGGTGTACTAAAAGATGGTTAAAAGCTTGCTAGTCATACAAATTCTAGACAACTGTCTCCTCTGCTGTGGGAGTCCTCTTGCAGGCCACAACTGATCTTCAGACCACTCCTTAAGCTATTCCACCCTCCTTGCGTCCTTGACTCAGTGGTGCTTTCCGTGTTGGAAGAGGTCATTCTGTACTTCTCCTTTCTGGTGTGAGTCATTATTTGTGCCTGCTATCTTTTCCTAACTAGACCATCTGCTTGGATTATCCTTCTGCATCTGACTTTCATCTTACTGCCAACTATTGATTTTCCTTTTTTTTTATATATACCCACAAACACCTACCTGCCCCAGTTGCCTTTTTTTAAGTTGAAGTGGAAACATTTTTTTCTGTGTTCAAATTGCATGCCTTTTGATTTAGTAGTCCTTTCTGAGCAAAAAGGTTGAAGTCCAGAGGTTGGCTTGAGATTATAGAATTAATAGTCATGACTACAGAATTAATTAATATCAATTTAATTTGTCATTACCACATGGAAAGGTGCAGGTAATCTGAGAATAATGTGGCAGCTGTGCTTCTTCTTAGCCATCTTCATTTCTAAACAAACTCTTTACGTAATCAGAGAGGGCTTCTGTTGTGTGCAGAATGTTCTGTCTCACTTGCTCCTAAAAGGAAATGTAGTGGGTGTGTGGGGCTAGTTGTGATGTTTCTGCATACATTTTCTTATTAGGGAAACACTGAACATAGTTTGGTTTTAAGGGTTTCTATAACTTTACCTCAGTTGACTACAAGGATAATCCATCTGGTATCTTATGAGTGGTTTCTTCCTTTCCTGCTGGCAAATGGTACGAAATTTAGTAAGTCCAAATGCCAAGATCCTGCACTTAGGACAGAGTAGCGTGGAGCACAGATATAAACTGGGAGAGGAGTGGCTGGTGAACAGACCTGCAGAAAATGGTCTGGGGATGCTGGGCAGTGGCAGACTCAGTATGAGGCAGCAGTGTGTCCTGGCAGCCAAGAGAGCAAACCACATCCTGGGGTGCATCAAGCACAGCACAGTCAGTAAGAAGAGCTGATTATCCCACTGTATTCAGCATCGGTGCAGCCTCACCTGGAGTGCTGTGTGCAGTTCTGGGTCCCACGATGTAAGGCTGTTAAGGTACTCAAGTGCCTCCAAGGGACACAACAAAGCTGGTGAGGGGGCTGGAAGGCATGTCCTGTGAGGAGCAGCTTCCTGAGGAAGTGAAGAGGCAGGCACTAAGTTCTTCCCCTGAGTAGCTGGTGATAAGACATGTGGGAATAGCTCAAAGCTGCACTGGGGAGGTTTAGACTGGACCTTGTGAAGCATTTCTTTACCATGAGTGTGGTCAAACACCAGAACAGTTTTCTAGAAAGGTGGGCAATGCTCCAAGCCTGTCAGTGTTTAAGAGGCATTTGCACAGTGCCCTTACTAACATGCTCTAACTTTTGGTAGCCCTAGATTTCTCAGGCAGTTGGATGAGATGATCATTGTAGGTCCCTTCCAACTGCCACAGTCTATTCTAGTCTACTCTTTCCTGTTGCATCCAGCAACTTCGCTAACATCACAAGAGTAATGTGCTGTCTCTTTGTGACTTAGAAGTGGTTTCTGGGCATGCACAGGCACGCACATTCAGAATGGTAGACTGTAGGAAGAGGTACAGCAAATAGGGAAATAATCCTGTTTCTCAGACAAGCCTTTGGAAATTTGTTCAGCTTCAGCTGAATTTGTTCTGTTGGCCACCCAATAAGTTTTATTAGTATCAGACTCCAGACTATTCTCTTTAAATTAGTCAAAAAGCCAATGACTTTATTCAGACACAACAAGAAGTTTTTTAATTCTGTCATTAACAGTAGTAGTATGAAATGGAGAAAGTAAAATTCTCCACAGAGCAAAATAACTTCTTCAAAATTTAGCTTATTTTTAAAAATCACAAGCCAGCATTTCTAAAATGCCCTCCAGAAGAGAGGTGAGGTTTTTCATCCTAGAATAATAGTCCGCTCTTCCCAGGAACATCAGTGTCTTACCATCAATTTCCTGACTGAGTGCTATATAGATTTGGAAATCAAGGCAGTTAAGAAAAGATTGTGGAAAATTACTGACAGAAAATCTGCCTGATTTCTAGTCATCTGCTATGTATGTGAGTTTTAGGAGAACTGTTAGCATCAAAGCATCTTGACAGCGTTTTTTGGTTGTGTTGAATTTTCAGGTTTAAAATGAGTATTTTTTGTGTTTTAGGAGGAGACTGCTGGTTCCTTATGCACTGTACACATTGCAGTGTGTTCCCACAGAATTTATCACTTAGATAAAAGATGAGTGAAGAGAGACAAAAAAGGAGAAATTAAGAGGCACAGAGGGGTGATGTGGCTTGTACCTGGTCACACTGAGGTCAGTAGCAGAGTTAAGAATTGGATTGTTTTGAGTTGTGATCTAAATTAGTCTGTTTTACTCCAGAGGCCACAGAGGTCACTCAGTATGAGTCAGCCGTCAAAAACTTAAACCTAAACTAAACCTTCCTTCTTGTTTCTTATATATCCTTGCTCGCAGAAATAAGCATGTCAGCAACAGCTGAAGGACACAAAGTACACATAGATTTACAGGATATTTCTTATGGTTAGTTTCACAGAAAATGTGACCATGCCTTTAGTGCTGTAATTAGTGCAAGAGTAACTGGAGATTTGGGTCTATCAAAAATTCCAGGAGACAGTAATAACCCTCTGTGAAGATCCACAATGTGAAGTTCTCAACCAGGACACTGCAGCCTGCAAACAGATTTAAATGATGTGGTCTCAGGGTTTTTATTTATACTAGTAAACAGAAGTGGGCTGGAACATGTGTTGTTGGTGCTGTAAGACTATTAGCAGTTCTTTGCCATAGTTTTGATCAAGGCATATTAATAGTCTACCAGAAAATTTAAGCAGGGTTCATGAATTAAGAGTCTGCGATCTATTCGAAATAGGCAGTAGAAAGGAGCAGATAATTTAACTGAGTAGGCATGAGCTGTTCCTTGGCATTTGCCCTGAAGTTCAAAGAGTGGGTTCTGGCCCATTTTTAAAACTATATCTATACCTTTAAATTAGGTGTATATATTGTGTCTTTGGGGATTGATTGAGTAAAATCATTCCTGTGTTCCTTCCATCTCTCTTTTTTAGTCTGTTTCTATTTTGCCTTGATGCATATAAGTATAACCTGATTTTTCCAGGAGATAAACTTTTTATAGACCTGGAAAAAATAGAACCTGCAAAACTAAAGGGCCTACAGAAATAATGAGGAGGAAAATAGCAGCTTTACCAGTAATGTAAAGGATAATAATCCATTATGTGTCCTACTCTCTTCTCTAGGGATTCAGCAGCACTTGCTGACAGTAGTTGTCCCCTGTGTGACTACCCCATTTTAATCAGAAATTTTAATAACTTAACAATTAGTGGATTAACAGTGGATAACTTTAGTTTTTACTGTGCACCTGTAGCCATTTGGAGAGTATCTGTTAAAAATAGAGGTGAAACTTTTCCTTATGCTGAAGCTAAAGTCTTATGCAGTGGTTTGGCTTGTGCACAGGAGGTGCTACAGTCAGTGAAGATCTGAATGCACTTGTGTGCCTTGTCCTTTTTCCAGATGGTATCACCACCACATTTACAATGGCAAAATGCAGCAGGTCTCCACACTTTACCAGACTTCACTATGTATCTTTGTGCAGGCTGTCACCAGCCATTGAAGCCAAGAAGCCAGCTTGGCTTAAATGTATGAACCAGATACACAAATAGATGCCCTCCTGGCACTTGTAATGTTGGCCATCAATATCCTCAGTTGGAGAGATGGCTGCAAAGCCAGTTCTCTTTAGTGCTGTGAGCTAATGCGGCCAAATTTGTGGTAATTAATTTCAGGCCTCTACATATTTGTCTACACAGCTAATGATTCCTAGTAATCTTGCTAACTAATTAATGATATTAACATAGCAAAATTTTTTTGCAAATGCTGTATGTTTGTGTTGTAAGCTTTATGGATTTATTTTTCTACTATAAAGTGGAAAAATATTTTTTGAACTCTAAATGAAAAATATTTAGGTTATGAGTCAAACTCTCATTAAAAACAAAGATTATATTATAGTTTATCAGCTTTGCAGCTAACTGTCTTAGTATTTTGGAATGGAGAAGCTAAAAAAAACTTTTGATGAAAACTTTCTTCCAATTTTAACTCTGACCAGATAGCTGTTTCGAGTAGAGGTTATTTTTTTTTAGTGTTCAGTGTATAGTCCTGCAGGTATTCCATTACTCCTTTCACCACTCCTTCCTGAATTTTTCAGTGCTAGATTCTTTAATTTTACTGTGGTAGAGATCTCTAAATACTTTAGTCTACTAGCTGTTCAAAAGAACTTACAGTACATGTACCAAAAAAAAGGTATTTCATGTGTGCAAATTCTACAGTCTACTCATTACAGAATTTATTTTTCGATGAGTAAGGGCCGGAAGACGCTAATGTAAGTATTTTAGCAAGGGTTTGTATTTCTCGGATAAACAGCACTCCCCTTCTGTTTGTGATCACAGGATGAAAGCTCTCTAAGCTTGTATATGTACATTTTTACTGCTACATCATGTAGTGTGCTCTTAAGATTGAGATCTCATTCCCCAGGAAGCATTTCTGTCTAAGATTAATTGCCCTTTTAAAATCAGTGTTTGATGTATTCCTTTGGCTATATCCTGACTCACTTTAACCCTCTTTGACCTGACCTCACTGACTATTACCACCGTGGCTGGAGCAGAAATCCTTCAGCCTGATGTATGCAGTACAGACTTGAGCCTGTGGTTTTTCACATCAATGGATTCAATTAGCTGACTTTTTACTGATCAGCTTAGCAGAAGTTGAAGAATTTGTCAGACATGAAACAAAACTGTCCATACTTTGAATATAATTGAATAGCTCATCTCAATTTTCACATGTAGTTTGCTTGTGAAGTTGTGTACTTTCTTAAATATAATAATATTCTTGGAAGTAGCATTTTTAAAAAGGAAAAACCAGTTTATTTTTCTCTAGTTAAATAGGGGAAGGCACAAAACATGAAATAACAGCCATTAAACCTTGAATCTGTATGTGTCACTTATCACTCTTCAGCCAAATGGTTTTAAACAGTAATTATATCCCAATGTCCACTTTTGAAGTTGATGTATTAAACTGGGCAGATAAACTAGCAATTAGCATTGAAAACAAGTGAATGTGCTGGTCTCTTCTGTATTGAGAGTGATTTTTTAGAAACAGTAATCCTTCTGTGCTTTGGTAGGAATAGGTCATCGTTTGATTAGCTGAAAAGTTCTTTACAAAAGATGGACAGCCATGAGGATCACAGAATATTTGCAGGCATGATGTGAATTATAGTAACTTGAAAATGAAGTAAACTTGAGGTTGAAAGTTCAAGAATGCCATTAAAAACCTTTAAAAGTATATGAATGTGCATATGCTTTGGAAATATATAATATGATTGCATAGAGAATTTGTTATTTAATTGTTTGGCATAATAGCATTTTGAAAACAATGACATTATAAAAGTTCTCACAAACTGTTAGTAACAAGGTCTTTTACAGCAAATTGATTTGCTTTGGACCAAACTTTGTAGAAATAAATCTTTATCAAATGTGATTTTTTGGTGGTGTTGTTTTTTTTTTCCAAGAACCACATTGATTATGTTCAGCTCCCTAAGTATAGATAGAGAGTCCTAATTTCTGAAGATCAGTTTTACACTGTTTGGAGGGAAGGGAAACCTCAAATCTAATTAAGGGTATAGTGCATAAAAGGGTTAACTTCTGGTAAGTCAAGATGCCTCCTGTTCCAAAAAGCTACACAACTCTTAAAAGTGATTTAGCTCTCCTTCAACAATGGAAAACATATCATGGACAAGTTGGCCTCAATTTGTCACGCATTCAGGTGTTTATCTTTTAATGCACACCCTGCCTGTTCCTCACGTATCTAAATGTGATGTGTGCTTGCTTGTTACATGGAAAAGCAGCATGATTTACATTGAGCTTTCTCACTTTATTCACATGTGAATAGACAAACTTAATGCATTGAAGAAAATGGGTTTATAAGCCTCAGCTGCTAACCCCAGCCTTTTAGAAACTACCACAGGTTTATTGCCAGTTCAAAGATGAGGCTAAAACACTGATGCTAAGGAAGAAGTGTTAGAAGAATATTCCCTGGGAGTTTAGTCTTACTTTTTTTTATTCTTCCTGAAGCTAGATGTTTGATGGGAAGCATTTTTGGCCTTGTAAGGTCTTCTATAAGATGTCAGATTTTTAAGAAAAGTATTTTAGGGTTCTGTCATAAATTAGTTCGGGACTTGTTCCAAGAACCCCATTTAAAAAACTTCTATGAAATATACAAGAATAAAATAATTTAAAAGCAACAACAGCGAAGTTTAGTTAAGTAAATTTTAGTTAAGTTTCCACCCTCTATCTGCTTTTCCATTGAGTTGCCTGAACTCTTTTACAAAAGGAAACGTTCCCTTGTCTTGCATGGTGTTACAGTCAGTGTTAATTGTTTTGGGAAAT